TTCCTTGCTAGAGGAGAGGGCCCTGAACGTAACCCTCGAGAAGTTGTAGTGTAGTCTGTATTGGATCTCACCCAACTTTTCCCACGAGTTCTGGTATATGAGGATCGTTAGCAGCCTACCGCTGGCTTGCTCGTTCCCCAACCCCACAACCTTCCAGGTACTGGTGTTTAGATTATTTTGGACATCGGTCCTGTGTAGTGTCCCCTCCGGAGGTGTAATTTTGGGGACGAACACTATTACCCTCTTTGGCTTGGGAAGCCTGTTTGCCTCCACAAGCACTAGCTCCGCCCCAGTCCAGGGTTTCGCCTCTTCCACCACCGCGGCGATCCAGTCTACAGTGGCCTGTTCAGGGCAGGTGATCAAAAGGGCGCCCCCCTGATAGCGGCATTCTGCAAACTTAGGATTCGTCGTCCCTGGTTGCAGTTCATCGATTCTCTCAAGCAACTGCCTCTTTATGAGTTCTCCCTGCTCAGGAGAAAAGTGTTTCTCGGATGTCGGTCGCCGCTATGGCCATCTTAATCCCGGAAATCGCGTCCCTGTACGATTTGTGTGCGGTTCCTTTCCTTGCGGAAGTTCCCACACGCGGCCGCTTAGGTTGCGGTTTATCGGGTATGCTGCCATCCGACCGGTGTCGCTTTTGCGTCCCAGTCGTGGCAGCTTGCTTGGTATGTGCTAATTCCCCCGAGGGTGTATCTGGCACAGTTTTGGTTGGTCCAAACTTTCCTTTGTCCCTAACCATTTTTTTTTCGTCTGGCGGCGCCCGAGAGTTTTTTACCCCTCGGTCGTTTGCCAGCTGCGGAGCCCGATGGTTCTTCCGAGGAAGCCCCGCCGGTATTTGGTGGTGATGCTAGGTTGCTGTCCATATCATTCCCACGACCAGCTAGGGAAAGGTTGGTCCTCTCACACAGAGCCCCGCATGTGTGGGTAAGGCTGATACAATGAGGTGCGCCTGTTGCCTCAAGGTTAGTCGCTATTGTCTGGGCTTCCCCCCAGCCTTGCATCTCTTGGCGCGCACTATACCGTAAGAATTGGGA